GTTGTATTAACCCTCAGTGCACCTGGTAGAGGCTGCTTCACCACGTTTGATAACGTTCTTAAGTGTTACAGATGACGATATCAGTAATGTGGCTGCTGTTTCTTTGCTTCCAATGTCAAAGAACAAGAAAAGTCAGAACAGTCTCTGACTACCACCTTGAGATGTTCGCCCACTGTTCAAAAGAGATTTCGTCGACCAATCACAGCAACTACTCCTTGGTCTACCGTCTGTTTGCAAATTCAATAGAAGTTAACAGGCTTGTCATAAGGCTCGTAGAATTTCAAATATTTTACAAACGTATGGTATTAAATTAGATACCATAGATTCTTAATTTCCAGATGTTTCTTCAAGATATTATTAAATAAACTTTCTTGCTAATTAAATCATTTTTCTCTTTCCTCATTTTTTTGTCTTTCCAGTGTCATGCACGGAAAATGTTTTCTGATTTGTTAAGGTAGATACTATGCAAACTAATTGCAATTTTGAAAGGCAGGACCGCCACAAACTTGGCAAACTGGGAGGAATTTTAATCCTCGGCCTCAACACATGCCTCAGTTGGCGAGCGTCACTGAGTTTATAACAGCTGCTCAGGACTGAAAACACGATGAAATAAAAAAACAAAACAAAACAAATCGAAAAGAAATACAGACTTGAAACTAAATGAACTGGTGCAAAAATAAATAAAAGGAAAAGGGCAAAGCTTTGTCCTAAGACAAGCTGTAGTATCTAGTAATAAATAGGTGAGTAAATTATAGAAAGACCCGTGATTCTGTAAAATAGATCAAAAGATACTGAGAGATATCCGAAGATGGATCGAAAGATACTGAAAGATATCAAAAGATTGATCGAAAGATACTGAAAGATATCAAAAAGATGGATCGAAAGATACTGAATCAATGGCATAGATATTGTTTTGGTTTCCACTACTAGGGAGGGCTAATAGTGTTTGTGCTTCTGTCAGTTTGATAATATTATGAATTTAGTGAAATGTCCTAGGACGCTGAAATTACGCCTAATTACGATAAAT